CTTTGAGCTGTGGTGCTGGAGAAGAGTGTTGAATATACCATGGACTGCTAGGAGAACAAACAGGTTTGTCCTGGAGAGGGTGAAACCGGGCTGCTCCTTGGAGGCAAGGATTCTGAAGCTTTGTCTGTTTGGGAAGGTGGAGGGACAGCACAACAGAGGAAGACCTTTGACGGGATGGATCGATTCATTTACTGGGCTAATGGGTGTAGGTGTGTCAGAGACAGTAAGGTGGGCATAGGATAGATAGAGCAGGGCTTAGGGCTCTTGTGCATAGGGTCGCTATGAGTCGCAAGTGACTCAACGGCACATAACAACAAACAACAAGTTGTGTGGTTAACTATTTGTACCACCCAGGAACTGTATGAGAGATCACTGATAGCTTAATAAAGTGTTAAAATTGGTGAATGATTTATTCTTCTGATGAACTGGAGCAGATTTGACCAAGAACTATCAATAAGGTTATGTTGTTCATATTTCTCATGTGCATCAAAGTAGTAAATGATTAATTGAGCACTGTTAAAATGCTATATTCCTGGAGAAAGACTTAGTGAATAAAACAGAGTCAGTGACAAAGAAGATGAATTGACACAGTTAAGAAGCTGCAGCTGTGGACTTTAAGACCAGCAGAGATTGTGAGAATTGCGTAGCATTTTCTGTAGCCACTTACAGTGTACTTACAGTGTAGACACTGTAAGACCAACTTGATGGCACCTAACAGCCATAATAATATAATACCATACTGAATTCCGGGAACAGTAAGAGTTATGTATATAATATTCAGATCATTAAAATGCTAATACTAAGCAGAATAGAATTAATACTAATCTTTTTTGCCCATAAATTTCATAATACGGGAACATAAAGGATATGTTTTCTATTTAATCAAATTATTTTAAAAATACAAAAATATTTATTAATAAATACACATACATAAAAACTGATACAAGTAAGAATATCAAGGAAAGACTATGGATGATTCAGTCAACAAATTCTTCATTTAATGGGTAAGGAGTTTCACTGCCAGCTGAAAGACAGCTGATTCAAATCCAACAGCCAGCCACTCCTGAGGAGAAAGATGGGAAGTTTCCTCCCATGCAATTTACAGCCTTCAAAAACCCACTAGAGTTTTCTAAGCTATCAGTTCTAACAAACAGCAATTAGAGTTATTAACAATAACTGGGGGGGGATGACACATGGTTCCTGCCGTTCTGGCATTTAGTCTATAAGGAGCCCTCATCAATCAGCTGCTGACATGAGGGTTGGCTTTTTTTTTTTTTTAAATTAAATTTTATTAGTTTTAATGAACATTTACAGAGATTTGGGGTTTTCATTCATTCATTGTTGCACTGTTTTCTCCACC